AGAGTCCTCCTCCCGTGGCTCAAAGCGCCGCCGCTGCTGTGTGTTGCCCTATAACGTCCATCTATCTATGGACGTTATCACACATGGCCCAGAAACTGAAAGTAAAGTGGAAATGAGGCATCCCGAAAATAAACAGGAAATAAACCTTGTTTCCGCAAACGTCATTACCTTCATTGCGCATTTACAGTAACTGCATTGAACGTCCACACACAAGAGAAAAAAACCCGTAAATGTAGCAGAAATGAGCCTCTTGCACATGCACAGATAAAGTAATGCTCGTGGGAACCATGGGTAATGACAGGGAAATGCTCCCCAATACGTATTTGGTTATCATACTTACGGTAAATGCAAAATGATCCTCATCGCACAATTGCAATTCCTCAAGAAACCAAATTTCAAAAGATCTTGGTTCTTTCCACTTTCTGTCCACTTTCTGTCGGGGTTCTGTGCGACGTGGTGTGAAAACACGAGCAAATAATCGGTTTCGGTCGGGATTTCGTTTGGATTTTGTTTGGATTGGGCCCCGTGTGATAACGTCCTAAATAAATACATTGAAGTACAAAGGGTGATATATTATATATTGAAGTACAAAGGATGTGTCATTGATTTTTCCATCCTCTCCCAGGCCTTTTTCAACACACTTCCTATTATACATTGAAGTACAAAGGCTGTGTCATAAAATGATGTCTCCCTGGACCATGAGCAAAACAAGAAAATGGTGATAGATAGATGGATGGATGATAGAGTTGGCCCTCCATATTCATGGATTTTTTTAATCCATGGATTCAGCCATCCACAGCTTGAAAATATTTTGAATTATATATAAGTTTCAAAAAGCAAACCTTAATTTTGGCATTTTATATAAAGGACACTATTTTACAACCTCATTGTCTATAATGGGACTTGAGTATCCATGGATTTTGGTATCCACAGGTGGTCCTGGAACAAAATGGCAGCAGATAGCAAGGGCTCAGTGTATATCTATATCTATCCATCCAACTATCTTGCACCATTCTCCCTCGTTCATGGCTGAGGGAGACATCATATTAATGACACAGCCTTTGTACTTCGATGTATATGTCTGCTTCCTCTAGAAGTTGCTTAGTTTACTGTATTGTATTGTATTGTATTGTATTGTATTGTATTGTATCGTATGTTGTTAACTGCTATTTTAATATTGTTCTAGTTTAATTTATTTCTAAGGGGTGGGAGGGTTAGGGATTGGGTTGAAGGATTGTTTTAACTGTTGTCTGTTTTAATTTGCTGTATGCCACCCCAGTTGCTGAGAAGAGGGGTGGGTTAAAAATAAAATTTATTATTATTATTATTATTATTATTATTAATTATTAATTATAAAAGGCCTGGGAGGGGGGAAATAGCCTTTTCTCCACCACCTTGGGAAAAAAAAAAGGTGGTGCATATGTGTTTTTGAAAAGATGGATCGGGGTTTTTTTTAAAATGACCAAAAGGGAATGGGAACTGTTATGTTAATTATGCTAATTGTGCCTAAACCATTTTTTAAAAATGTAAGTAGTATAAATATGACCGCTCAGAGAAAAAGAAGTCTCATTTACATTTAAAAAGAATAAAGAATGAATTCAGAGGCTCTTGGAAATATTTGCTGTTGTTACTGTGTCCCTCCAAGTCATTTTTTTTTAACTTATGGTGACCCTAAGACAAACCTACCATAAGGTTTTCTTGGAAAGTTTCTTCAGACCGGGTTTACCATTGTTATCCTCTGAGGCTAAGAGAGTGTGACTTGGGCATGGTCACTCAGTAGGGATTTTTTAAAAATATATCAAGTGGGGATTTGAACTCTGATCTCCACAGTCGTAGTCCAATGCTCAGAACACTACACCATGCTGGTGTCGCACTATACCTGTGAGATATTTTCTGGTAAAGTTGGTTACTTCCACAGGATTCAGCAATACAAGCCTAGCCAATTTTATTCAGATGCAAATACCACATGACTGTTGAACGTACTCTGTCATCTATGCACACTGCTATGGAACCAGTGGGATTGACAGCTCATTCCACCCAATGTTTATTCAGAAGCAAGGTAAATTCCACTGGTTTGCCCCTTGCAAAGCATGCAGAGGACTTGAGCCTCAACTATAATCAATAGGTGTGCTTACAATGTGTACATTGCCATTTCATTTCTATACAATCAAGCGCTACACATTATTCCATCAAGGTCCTGTGTAAGTTTAAAAGAATATTTTATACATAAACTTCTTCTTCATAATAAATGTAGTTTTTCCTCATATTTATTTTAGGCTGTTTTCTTCTTCTATAGTTTGACTTCCCTGGATATGTGTAATAAATTATAATTACAGAGGAAGTTATAATTGCAGAGGAAGGCTTGCTATTTCACAAAGCAAAGATATGTCATAGGATGGAGGCTGGGTCCTTTCCCATTGTGTACCTTTGTCTTTGGCTGTGTATTTTGTAAGAATGCAGCAAGGTAAGTACTATTTTTCCCCAGTGTTGACCCAAGAAGTAAATGTCTATAATGCTTACACAAAGGCCTGGGTTAACTACATTCCAACAACTAGTAAGATGCACATTTACCCTGCAGTCTTCTTGTTTCCCATGTTTTATTGTTAAAACTTTTTCACTTTAGCTTTGCCATGTTTTGTTAACTTTTTTTCACTTCATCAGGCCCACTTATCTGATAAAGAGGCTTCATTTAATTAAATAATAGTATTTTTATTTAATGTTGTTAACATTAATCCAATAAATCTATTGACATGCTGTCAAATCAAATATATGATTTTGCAATTTCTGTATGCAGGTCAAAATAACATATTTGCATGTCTGTGTATAGGACGTTACTATTCTCATTCATATTAACATTGCTCTGAACAAAAAGTATTCTCCAGAGTCCATTCTCTAGGAAGCTGAGCATCTTGTTTTTCAAAATGTGAATGAACAGGTAATATAATTGCTTCACTTAAATATTTGCTATTCACTAACAGTCATCTTTAATGCAGGAAGGGGAAATATGATGTCTCCCAAAACATCTTGTGAGAAAACAAAGTTATTGATAACATAAATTTATCAAATACACAGCTGTTTTAGTCTGGAAAATCAGTATGCAAAGGGATCTTGTAACACCTTTGAGACTGGGGGGCCTTTGCAGACTGCCAGAAATAGTGCACATTAAATTGAGGCACTGCCCTGGCTCAGTGCTAGGGAGTCATGGGAATTGTATTTTTTTTCTGAGACATTGAGCCTTCTCTGTCAGAGAGCTCTGGTGCCACAATAAATTACAGTTCCCACGATTCCCTAGCACTGAGCCAGGGCAGTGCCGCAATTTAATGTGTACTATTTCTGGCAGTCTGCAAAGGCCCTAAATG